TTTGTTGTTTTGGGTGACTTTTTTTTTTTCCTGCAGTCCCATGAGACAGGGCAAAGGCTGAACAGACGAGTGTCCTGTTGCTGAAGAAGAAACACTTCTCAGGCAAATGGTGGCACAGTGATGGCTTGCTGTCATTTATTCTGTGTATTGTACTTGTTTTTTTGGAGATAGAATATTGCAACTATTGAAACTTAGCCATGGACACCTGCTTTTTTTTTTTTTTTTCTTCACTATCACATTAAAATAAACCTCTCCAAAAAGCCCAGCCCCATATTTTTGTTTTCTTACTCTCCACTGAAACATAACTATAATGTCATTCACATTGGATTTAGTCTCCTTTAACAGTACATTTCAATAGTTTCATGTGAGCATGAGCATTTGGGACTCTACATTTTATTTTCCAGTGAATAGATCCTATGGCTGTTGGAGCCCAATTGTCACATTCTCTTTAACCTGCAGGCTGTGCTGAGCTGATGGAGGATACCAGCAGCTACTCAGCATTAGGAGATGGGTCTGAAAACATAAATCACTTCTTTCTTGGCATGTACTAGATACAGTGCAGGGTATGTTTGCATTAGCAGTTGCCATATTGCATTAGGATCTGTGCTGATTAGATTTTCACTAATAGGAGCAGGGCAAATGTATTATATAGTTGCACAATTAAATATATTGTCAGACTGAGGGTGAAAGGATGGAGTAATTGAAAAAGCAGGGGATAAGGCTGGCTTTTCTTTGGAAGAAGCAAATGGAGAGGTCATGTTAGAGCCAGCAGGAAGTTTAAACAGAGTTTAAGGAGGCTGGTTGAGGAAATGTCTTGACAGAACAGTGGAAATGACATGTTATGGAAGAGTGAATGATTAACTTGCTTGAGAAGAACCAGCAGATAATTTGAGCTGGATTGGGCTGGGCAGAAATATGCCACAGCACCTAACATTGGAGCAGATGAGAGGTGCTGAGCTGCAAAAGTCAAGAGAAATTTGAAAAAGCTCATTGAGCCTTGAGAAAAAATAAATGATAAGGAAATGACTCAGAGTAGAAGGGGTTTGGTCCAGATTTAGTGCAGTTTCAGTGAAACTGGGTTTACCAAGAAATCAGTTTTTTTAACAGTCTGACATTTTTAAGTCAATGTGGCTGTGCTGATTTCTGAGCTGTTCTGGTTCCAGGCAGCATCTATAATTGCACATTATTATTTGGAATATAAAGATTTTAATTGCTTTCCAGAAAGCTTGAGAGGAAAATAATCCATATTGTTTTCCTTCTTCTAATTGGAGAACTTTTCCACACTGTAATGTGTCTCAGTAGGCCCATTCCATCACATTCTCTATTTCATTTTGAAGTCTCTTGAAGAGTTAATACTTTGTTATTTGGCTATTTTCCTTGATCTCCAGCCACAGAGGTTTGTGTTTTTAAATAATGCTTGTCTTATTTTTCATAGCTGATGTGACTGATTCAGATTGGATTATTTCCTTTGACCCAAACTGGGGCTACAGTTCGAAGATCCAACCAATCTGTGGGCAGCCCTTTTTTTTTCTTTAATAGCAGACTAATTGGCAGACCAATTAATCTGCTCATCTGTGAAAAGAAAATTTATGGCAATAAGTAGTTCTATTTCCAGAAGTCATTCTCTAAAGTAACATTACAGTGGCCTTGTTTACTTCATGCCCTGCAACACGATCCAGTGCTTCAACAGTAGCACAGGTCAATTAGTGGACAATTTAAGCAATTATTAGCCACTAACAAGGGTGACTGGCATCATTACCCTTCCTGTTTACCAGCAAACTGTTATTTTAATACAAAGATCAACAAATAAATTAGGGCATCTGTTGTATTGCCATGTCTGCCTTGAAGTAAATGATATTAAATGGGCTTTGGTCGCTGCCAAATTCTTAACCCCGGCCTAATGAGATACACTGATATGTCTCTTGCTGATTACAGAAGCTGTAAAATTTAGTTTGTATTGATTTATTAACAGGAGGACCAAGTTCTCTGCAAAGGTATTTTTTTTAATAGTATGATATCTGTCTTTTTATTTTAAACATTATTGATCCAGACTATTTCAGGCAGTCCAAAACTATTGAGTTCCTCTGAAAGACAAAGCTATTTCCTAGCTGTATAGATTATTTGGATACTTACAATAATTTTAGGGTGAGGTTTTCATATGTAAATGCAGGCTTTTGTCTCATGCTTTTCCCACGCTCCTTAGAACTGCCTCTACTTCCAGGTTAGAATTCTGAGAGTTATTTTTAACTCTTCCTTGGTGTTTTCACAATGGGGTAAGGCTTCTTCAGGCTTAACTGACTGCCTGCTAAGTAAGAAAATCAAGTAAATCTCCTTTTGATGGGTAAGTTAGCTGGAGTAGACTGGGGAAACGCTGGTCACGTCTGGCACCTCGCCCTGGGTGCCCAGGCTCCTTCAGTCAGCTGCAGGAGTGAATCAGGCACAGCAGAGCCTCACCCACTGCATGTTTATGTGCAGCCTTCCACACCATTGCATGCTCTTTCTCAGGGAATAGCAATTGCCTGCTGAAGCTGAAAACTGCAGCTTCCAGTTGCCAAGATGCTCCTGCCAAGCTCTGTGAGCGAGGCTGCGTCGGTAACAGGGGCAAAATGAGCAGAACCTGGACAAGGCTCTTCACTGGCACAGCGACAGCTACAGCACAGCCCTGAGAGCTGGGGCTCTTGTGTGTCCTCCTGAGAGAAAGCAGTCCTGTCACCCCTGGGGTGTTGACAGTGCTCCCTGCTGCCTGGGGAGCTGTGGCATGTTCCTGCCTGGTGCGCTGCCAAGGCCTTTGGGGAGGCAATGATCCACACCATGCACTATTTGTGCTGGTTTTGTTTCAGCCTGGAAGGTCTTATCCAAATTAGGATAAAACTTGTTCTGGACACACTGATTTCTGAGCAGTTAACTCCTCCAAGTGATTTAGAAAACACAAACTGATGTGATGTTTGAGTCTAGTTGAGTCAAGTTGCAAGCTCTTCTAAACTAAAACCGGCACAGAGTCTTGAGAAACCACGGGCCAAGTGAGGAGTTGTTTCCCTTTAAGTGATTTTGAGCCCTCCAGGTGTGAGTACTGTGGATTATGTTTCAGACACTGCCAGGAAACAGTCAGAGCAGCAGTTTAACATAGCTAAGCTTTTCGTGTTTGCATACAGTTAGGAAATCTGGTTGTTCAGGATCCAACTGTGTCCCTGTCATTCCTCCGTGTTCTTGCTGTTGGATAATGAACAAAAGTCACAACACCAGCCAAAAAGCAGATCGATGTTCGGTTTCCTTCATCTAGAGGAGGTAATTGCAGGAACATTTCCTGAGCAATATAATTATGTATATGCTAATTTGCCTCAGAAATTCAGGTTTAGTTTCTTCTCAGGTGGAAGACCTGGTTACAGAAAGTTCCTCTCTCCTCTGCAGGATTAGTCACTGAGACATGAAAAAATTGCTGATGTTTAGAGTCAACTACACCTTGATCATCTCAGACATTTCAGAAGCCTCATTTTTCTCCATGTGCCTCAGAAAATTATAATTCATTCCAACAGCAGCCAAGGCTCAGACTTTCTGCTATTTGAAATACAAAGTGGGCCTTAAGAAATTAGCTAAATGAAGGAGTCGTGCAGAATGTGAGATTTTGGTCTCATCATTAATGCATGTTTCAGCCAAGCTGTAAACAAGTGCATTTAACCTAGCACAAACTTGGGGTTTAGAGGCTTTTTTAAAATACTTTGGTTGAATCACAAAAAATCAGGTCTGAAGTCAGCTAGTTAGTCCAGGCCATCCCTTCTATCCTGAATTGTTGCTTGTTGTAGCTATTCCCTAAGGCTTTACCCTGTCCAGTGTTAAATGTTTCTGATGATAGGATTCCACTCTTACCCTGGAGAGACAATTCCACACTCTAATAGAGCTCACCATTACTGAAATTTTACTGATGAGCAGCCTTAATTTTTCTCTGCTTAATTTTATCCTGTTACTAGACCGTAGTGATTGATTTATTCTGGGGAAATTCAGTAAATGGTTCCTGCTTCACAGGATGGACCTTACAATAAATAGCAAATTGTCATGACCTATCTGTGGGTGTCCTGAGATTACACAGGAACTCAATTTATCTCAACATTAATTCCCTGGAAGCTATTTCTGTCAGGACCAGCTCAGTGGAGGGATGAGCAGTGAATTGAGCTGCCAGATTCCTGTCTCCTGCCCCAGCAGCAGCCCTGGGCTGAGGCAATGCTCAGTGGCTCCCCGAGCATGGGGACAAGAGGCAGGAGCTCCTGCAGGCTCTGGTGCTGTGATGTGCCCAAAGGAAGGGCATTTAGGATCTGCTTCCCCTTCACTTGTCTGGGCTCCACATTAAAGGAGCTGATGAAGTGCAGTTACTCCTGGTTTTTATGAGTGTAAAATAAGTGAGGAATATATCTTATAAATTCCAGTCCACCACTGGCACAGTATTCCTGTGCCCAGTGCACATATTAGGCAGCCCTTCCATTTTTTGTGAGGCATTTTACACCTCTTTATACATGCAGATGATCTGAAATCTGTGTTCACATGTCACAGGTAGGTCTGGGTGTATGCTGAAATGAACTTGAGATGGCTCAACTCAACAAATTCCCACTCACAAGGTGAGCTGTAGTGTGAGCCCTACGCAGGCTGGCTGTGAGGGGTGTCTTCATTTCTCCTCTTAGGAGCAGAAAGGTTTTGTTACTGTGGCTCAGCTGATGAGCATTAACTTCTCCCTCTGTGGAAACTCGACAGTGTCTGGCAATGCAGCCATGAGGGACTTGCATTATGAGGACAGATTAAGGGATTTATCCTTAAAGTTCTTGGAGTTTTAAGCAGGTGGCAGGTGCTACGTGAGTGCAAGTGGCTTGTTCTGCTGGAAGCTGAAGCAGTGCCAGGAACCAGGAGGGATCATCATTCTGATCTTTTATGTGTGAAATTTCAGGTAGGTATCTGGAAATCATTGATGTCATAGATCCCTTTCTTCAAATTCCTTTTTTAAATTTTTTTCCCAGGTATAATTGATTTCCTCGTCAGCCACCATCCAATTGCAAAAGTACTGAGAGACCATCTGGTCTTCAAGATTGCTCCCATGCTCAATCCTGATGGAGTTTACCTAGGAAATTACAGGTATGGTGTGGGGAATGAATCTGTGCATTGTTACACTTGCCTTGCACTGTTTTGTCATTGAATCTTATATGGCTTGTTTCAATTCATTCCTCTTAAACTGGAGATTCTCACGTGGATTCAAACGCACTTCCTGAAATTCCCACCTAGGAAAGGGGCAAATAGCAAATTTGTTTTCTTCAGGAGGTAGAGAATAACTCTCCAAGACAGCAGGGTATCTGCTCTGCAAGCCTCCTCTAGGTGTGGGAGTTAATGTCAGCTCAGAGTTAGACCTTAGCTGTGTTTTATAAATGCACTCATTATGCTGCTCATCAGCCTCTATGTAAATGTGTCAGTCAATCACAGCTCCCTTAAACTACCCAGATCATCCATTAAAGTCACAGATTTCACTCTGTTATTGTACTGTAATAGATAGGGATACACGGAATGGAATAATCATTCCACCCTATGCTAATTTTGCTCCATTTTAGTGTTTGAATTACTACTTTACCACCTCCTCTGCTGAGATCGTATTCAGATAATCTTTTGTTTTCCCTAAAATTGTTTTCTCTTAATGCATTTATTTACAAAATAAATGTGCTGCTGGAGGTGATAATGAAAAGCAGTTGATTAGTTGATGATTTGTTTGTGGGGGCAATTACATATACCACACAGTTCTCTGTAGAAGCCCCTGAGAAATAAAATATACTGCATGTGGTTTTGCTTACAGTGCAACACTAAATAACACAATTCACTTTGTAGCCAGGCTACCTCGAGCTTTGATCTAATTAGGTATTGTTAAGCAGAATAAGGCTGGGTTGTTGTATGGGTGAGGAGACCACTGAGGAAGAAGATAGAAGGTGCAGAAAATGGGGCTGCTGGCAGTTCTTTGTTGAGGAAACAGCCTCAAATTGTGCCAGGAGGGTTTTAGATTAAGTATTAGCAAAAAAATCTTCACTGAATGGGTGATCAGGCATTGGAACAGGCTGCCCAAGGCAGTGGTGGCATCACTGTCCCTGGAAGTGATAAAAAACTTGTGTGGATGTGGTGCTTAGGGAGATGGTTTAGCAGTGCTGGGTTAATGGCTGGGCTCAGTGGTTTTAGAGGTCTTTTCCATCATTCATGATTCTGTGATCTGTGCTCCTTACCCCTCCTTTTCTTGGCTCATTGCTAAACTGAAGCAGCAGGGAGTTGTGGGGGTGATTTAAACCACAGTTCTGTGTGTTCTGAGTGAAACTTCTGAGAACAGGTGGTGTCCTTCCAGCTGCAGTGATCCTCGCTCAGCTGGTGGCAAATCCCAAATCAGACTGCAGTGGTGACATCTGACAGCACCAGGGATTTACCAGAACGTGTCACCATACAGGAATAAAGCCCCCAAATGGCTCTAGAATCTGCTACTACATCACTTTCCTTTCTTCCAGGTGCCTTGCACATAAGCAAACTCCAGTTGCAATTAAGCAGGTTTTGTTTTCCCCATAAGGTCACTTGCACTGTAGGGTTTTTTTCCCCTGTGCTGTTATTTATAGTTTTTGAGAGACATGCAGCTTTTTATAGGCATTTATATGGCTCAGAACTTGAAGAGCCTTTTGGGAACCCAAAGGTAGTGAGAAAGAGCATGCGAATTAATTTGGAATTGCTGAGCTTGATGGTGTACTCTTGGTTTAACTTTCCATGATATGCATGATTTTCAACCCTCCTGAACTAAAGAGAATTTAAATGAGCTAGTTGAAAAAAACATTTGATTTTCTTGCAATTTTTCACTGTATTTACAAATGGCCTAATGTAACTAATAACTTAAAAACGAGGATAATAAGCAAAATGCTACCTATTATCTTGAGAAGAATATTAAAAAGCCTAGTAATGTGCCAGCATTGCAGTTAACTAGTGCTGAGTGAATAATTTACAGCAAACACCTTATTTCCTTCTCATTCAAAATCCACAAGCACATCACAATTTATTTACTTGAATTTACTGGATGCATTTCTAGAAAAATCTCTAAGGATCGCTTGCTTGTATTTGAAAATTTAACTCTGAGGCTTCTCAGTGATTGGCTAGATAAGTCTGCTTCATCTCTTATGGTCTTTGTTCAGACTAGCACATAAATAGGGCTTTCAGAAGTATTCCATGTAGTGGGGTCTAACACAGATCTATTGGCTGGGGATAACCCCCTGCTTTTGCAAACAGGGGTGCCACATCCAGCAAGAGCAGCTTTAGGCATTTGAACCTCTTCCTGTCATCTCCCTCTTTCTCAAAGCAGCAGCTGGTGACTATTTCTTTGGTTCATTGAAGGTTCACACTCAGAGCTATGCAAGCTAAGATAATGAAATGGGTAATTAAACCTCATGCTTGAGTTTGTAAATTGATCTGCTGCCAGTGTGAGGGAGGTTTTTCTTTTACCCCACCAGTGCACAGCCTTGTACAACTGGCAAAGCATTCTGCTGGATGCACTTGGCTGTCCCCTGGAATGCCAGGCACAGGGGCACCACTGAGAGCCTGAGTGTGTCAGCAGCTCTTGGAGGAGGGATGGGATGGACTTGTTCTCCTGGCATCAGGACAGGAGCCAGCCACTGACTAAGCCAGGGGGATACGGTCACAGCTGGCTGCTGAAATTTTCTTCATTGCCACTTTTGGGGATGCAGGACTGACTGAGGATGTGAGTCCTGTGCTCTCCTCCAAAATCCTCCCTCCTTTGTTGTTGTGAACTGAGGTTTGGGAGTTTAAGCCAAGTCTGCAACGATGCCACCAAGAATTGCCCGTTTTCCACGAGCTGCTGCTCATTCTCAAGAGAGCAGACACAATGGGTTGTGACTCTTGACTTGGATGTGGTGAAATTTTCATCACCAGCAACAAGTGAGTTTAGTACTGCCATTGTAAAGCACAGATTCATCTGTGAGGAAAGATATTTTTATGTTGCATGTATATTCAGGTGGCTCTAAAAGAAATGGCCATGGAAAGGAATTTCAGAGCTCAGTGTATCAGCATGCGTGGAAATGGGATGCAAAACTTTACTGATTTATTCAAGTTTATGCAAGAGTTTAAGAATTTGTAGACCTATACAATTAGAAAAGACAAAGGTGCCTTTTGGGACGTACAGGGGCAATTAAGCAGCTCCTTTAATTCAGAATGTTTGGAAAGTCTATATACAATTTGAACAAAAAAGTTTTTGTGGTTTTGGTTTTGTTCTGGGTTTGGGTTTTTTTAACTGTCTTTTTAGCGGAAATAAAACACCCTCCAATTCCTTTTCTTGCTGCATAATTATACCCAGCTCCTCCTGAAACACAGAATAATGATAGGTACCTGCTGTTCACTATGGCCAAGGGTGTAGAGTCTTTCTCTAAACAGGAAGACAGGCTTCTCCCTTTTCTTGAAGTCTTTAAAGCCTGGCAATGCACTTCTAAGTTAACTGGCTTTGCAGTTACAGTGCTGTATAGATGATGTTGTGCTGCATGGGCTTGTTAATTAAATTGTCCAGAAAGTTGCCATTCATTGCCATTCATGCCATTCAACTAAAATATAGAGAGCCTTCATCATAATTTTGCTTCATTTCTAGCTGGCAACTTGTCCTCAGCTCTCACCTGAATAGAAAGACCCCTTCTGCTGGTGGTAGTGCACTTGATCTTTAGCTTTAGTATAAAAGAACGTGGCACACAAATAAAAATACTTGTGAGTTTCTCTATAACACTAATCTCACCCTCTCTGATGGATTAAACTGTGAAACAGCTTTAGGAAATAAAGGAAAGCTAGTGCAGTGAAGAGAGGTTTCTCGACTTTTCTCCCTCTGTTTGCAGCACAGCATTATCATATTGCCATCCCCAGGGAGGAGGGGGTAGACTAAGGGGAGAAAAAAAAGTGTTCTTGATTTAAAAGTCGTGCATCCCCAGGCTTGGCCTGAACTTTCCTTTATCGAGAGCTTGTTCTTAAGCTGGCATTCTGCAGCTGAATGCTGAAATGTGTCCCTGCAGGCGAGATGACTGTACCACACTATCTTAGATTAGTTCCAATTTGTCAGCCTCACCTTTCAGAGGCTAAATCCTACCCTGGCACCTAAAGGGATGTGTTGCTTAGTCTGGGAGCTCTTCACTGAGGTATCCCAGAAATGCCATGAGAAGGCAGATGAAATATCCTGACCGTTCTCCAAAGGCTCTGTGAGTGTCATGACCCAGTGAGTGTCCCCATTCCTTGGATTTTCTGTGTTCCTTCTCTGGGGGAGCTGTGACAGCACCAGCCTTTGGTAAATTAAAGCCATGAATTAGCTGAAATGTTCTGAAGTTCCACCACTGCTGTGTCCTTGTAGCCCTGCTGTAGGGCTGCAAGAATTTGTGTGAATGGGGAGGACAGGGCACACACCCATTCCAGCCCTTTCTCATTTCACTGTCAGCGACAATATTTTTGAACTCAACACAGTCCTTACTTCTTGCTTGTGTAAAGGGTTAACAAATTCATTTGTTGGGCAGAAAGGAGGCCAGCCCTACCCAGGCTGTAAAGCCAAATTCACCATAGACAGTGTCGGTGTCCATATGAAAGCTGTGTTGGGATTTCATGTTTTGAGCAAAGGGTACATTTTGGTCTCAGAAATCTAGCTTTGTAAAGACTTAAATACTTTGTAGAAGGGAGTAGAATTTAGCAAACTGTTTCATGTGGAAGAAAGGGAAGGCTTGAGGAACATTTTTAATTATTCATACTAGCATTCTTTAAAGGACAATCTTCTTTCATTTTTGTTTGTTAATGGCACAATTTGTTTAAAAACTGACCTTTTCCAAACATTCCATTTGAAAGATTTCAAGTGCAATCAGAAAACTAGGTTTTGGATCAGGTTAACTATTTCAGATTTATCCCAAACATGTTTTTCTGGACTTTATTTCTATGACTCTAGAAATAGTTAAAAAATCATGTTCAAGTGTAATTCATAAGGGTTTTTTAACAGTAAAGGCACATATGGACTTCATCCAAATTGTTTTATTATTTATGTCCCTTTTGGGGGACTGGATATGTCAGGTGGTTCTTACTATCACTGATTCAGTTGT